ACCCACGCATCTCTGTGTTTGGCGTGGAAAAGAATTTTTTGGTCCAAAATTTGTGTTAGAAGAAGAACGGAAATTACTTGAAATACAACAAATTCAATTAAACGATGCAATTGCTGCTCACCAATTGCGTCTTAAATCGGAAGCAAACAATGACAATAATTTTGATCCATTATTTAAATTTAATTTGGTACAAACACCCACAACATCCACAACACCATTGACACCATTAACACCGTCGACGCCATCTTCTTTAAATAATAATAATTCAAGATATAAACCAAATTCATTTCTACATCATAAATCTTCTTCTTCAAGTCAATCACTTAATCATTTATCATCATCTTCATCATCTTCGTCATCACTATCACCTTCTTCTCCCTCTTCACAGTCAAGATATTATAAAGAACCAATTGGTACTCCAGTTAGAAAACCTTCGCCATCTAATTCCATTAACAACCATAAACACAATGTTAAACCAATCTCAATTTCTACCGCATCGTCATCATCGTCATCGTTATTATCTTCTTCTTCTTCTTCTTCTTCGTTGTCACCTTCATCTTCTTCTTCGTCATTTTCATTATTCTCAAAATCACCCTCTTCATCAATCAATACTTCTAATATTAATATCAACGTCAACTTGAATTATTTGACCAAAAAACCAACATCTAACTAACCACAGGGTATAACTATTAAATTAAATACGTGGTATTATAATTTTAAGAATTACCAATTATCATCAAGAAAAATAATCGCATTTGTACAATCACATACTTTAAGCACCTAATATCGAATCTTTAATCTGGTAACAAACATAATTATTTAATATGTTAATATTGATAATTAGAGAAATTGCAAACCCGTTACTATTGTTATCATTATTATTTTGTTGATACTATTAACATTATGAAATGAAGGCAACCTATGCAGTTGTACGCTAACTGTACGCATGACATTTATTATACACTGCGTATATTTTTTTCATAAGGAAATATATTCACTCGCTATAAAGACCAACTTTTTATTTGATAAAAGATTAATACGATATAAATATATAAATAATATAAAATAAATAAATACCAAAAACAAATCTCTAAATTTAATCAGTTCTCACTCTCACTCTTAAAAATACATTCACTCTCTCACACTTGCGCTCATTATCACAACAAATCCAAGGAAATCTCATCAAGATACTTCCTTCACCTGT